TGCCCTCTATCCAGGTTTCGCCTGGGACGTCGCCCCTCCCGATGCCTCCTCCTAGGGTGACACCGCTGTCTGCAACTTCACCAGTCGTTGAGGCTCCTCGTTCTACAGCCTCTTCCGTGGGATCGCTTGACTCTGGGTTGGAGCCAACTGACTTGGACCCCTCACATTTGCGAGCTTGCGTTCAGAGCTTCGGCACTGTGGACTGGGCTAGGGAACAACAGCGGGAGAGGGAATGCGTGGTGGCTATGCGTTTTCTGTCTCGTGGCTCTCCCTCCCCACCCCCTTCTGACTTGCTCACCCTTAGTGCCCCGCTCCGCTCCCCTCGGTTAGACGATATCCTTGCGTTGGCGGCGAAAACCAGGCTGCACACGACCGATGATAACGTCACCCTCCTCGTACATAAACCGGCGCCATCGCCGATCGGGCGCTCTGGCGGCAGGGCCACTCGTCTACCGGATACTGGTGTGCCCCGTGTCAACGTGCCCATGTTGATGCGTCCGTGGGTCCTTCATGCCTGCCATACCGCCGCGTCCTTCCATCTTGATGTTCATCGTACACAACGTCTGCTTGAGCGTTTCTACTGGTGGATTGGTCTGGATCGATCCGTACGCTGGTGGCTTCGCGCGTGTTTGGTGTGTCAAGCTCGCAAGACTTCGCGTCAAACCGCTCGGTGGCCCGTCATCGCTATGCCATTGCCACAGGGGCCTGGTACGGTCGTCGGCGTCGACTTCTTCGGACCCCTGCCCGTGACTGCCAAGGGCAACTCCTACATTTTATTGTTCACAGACCGTTTCAGCCGGAGAGCCGACATGTTCGCGGTTACAGCGGCGGAATTTACGGCGAAAGGGACGGCTCACATCTTCGTCAACCAGTACATGACCAAGTGGGGATGTCCGACTACGTTATTGTCGGACAACGGACTGCAATTTTGCTCGAAGCTCTCCATGGCGATCTATGAGATGATGAAAATCAAGAAAGTCACCACCAGCTCCTACCACCCGCAAACCAACGGCGGCACGGAACGCGTCAATCACACGATGGCTCAGATGCTTGCGGTAGTCGTCAACGACCAGCAAAACGATTGGGACATACATCTCCCGCACGTTGAATTTGCCTACAACAATTCCGTGAACCAGTCGACTGGATTGGCGCCGAACGAGATCCATATCGGACGCATTCCGCGGCTTCCGCTTTCGGTCTTCGATCATCCAACGGTCGGTGGTCATCAAAGCTTAGCCCGTGACCAACTCGAGTACTGCAACTTGGCTGTCGATCGCCAGCGCCGGGCCTACGACCTGGTCCGTGAGTACAACGCCCTGAAGATTTCGCGAGTCGAACGCAGTAATTCATCCCTGCTGGACGCCATCCACAAGCTCCCGCAATTTACTGTTGGCGGGTGGGCTTGGGTCTACAACACGGCTGCTACAATTCGACAGGGTGTGCGGAAGGACACGGATCAACAGGTGCTCAAGGCCAAATTCGCGCTTTCCTGGACGGGGCCTTACAAAGTTCTTGCGGTGGGTCCCGCTTCGGCCGACGCCACCCCAGATGGAAGCCCGTTGGCGCGCAAACTCCTCTACCTGGACCTGCCTTCGGATCTTTCCGGCCCAGCTGCTCGATGTCGGGTATCTGTCCTTCGTTGCAAGCCCTGTCGCAATCCATACGAGACGGACGACCTGCCTCAATCTCTACCCGCTGAGCTTTCGCGTCATGTCTTGCACTCTTTCGGCGACAAATGTCCACCGTTTCACGTCACCGCAGATGATGTGTCGGTGCCTGTTGGGCGCCTCGAGGTCGACTACATTTCGGGACACCA